CAGCCGCTCCCCAGCAGCCTGGGGCTCCAGACCCCTCCCCAGCTCCGCTGCCCTTCTCTGGACACGCTCCAGCCCCCCCAGGTCCTTCGGGGAGGGAGGGGCCCAACCCTGACCCCAGCACTCGAGGGGCGGCCCCCCCAGTGCCCAGCACAGGGGCACGGTCCCTGCCCTGCTCCTGCTGGCCACACCACTCCTGATACAAGCCAGGATGCTGCTGGCCCTCTTGGCCACCTGGGCACCCTGCTGGCTCATATTCAGCCGCCTGTCGACCAGCACCCCCAGGTCTTTTTCTCAGCACTTAAAAGTTTAATAATAATTCCAGTCCCCGAGATACGTACTTCGTAGCTCTCCCTCACAGCGGACGTGTGCCTGCTTGGGTTCAGTCCCTGAAGAGCAAGTAACTGAAGCTGAGGGTAAGGGTAGTTTCTGATTTCGTGAACAACCTGTGAGAAGTGAAGGAGAAAAATAAAGCCACTTGTACTTGCACATAGAAATGCCTTGTGTACCCTGGTTTAAATCTGGTGCTTTAAAAATTCAAAATGAAGGAGTGGACTGACACCTTCCTGAATGGAAGCCTTTTAATAACCAAAAAAAATGAGGTTCTATTAAATAGATCTCCTATAAATTACATCTGAAGGCGTGCATTTCTTCTGAGTAAACTACCTGCCATAATAATTCCTGTTGCATCTACAACACTGCAGTTCCAAACTCTCAACATGGATTAGCTTAAAAAGAGATTTTATTTTATTTGCTTTTAAGTGCATGGATTTCTCTTCATCCAAGCTTTGATTTTTTTAAGCCTTGCTGTAGTATGCCTGTGTCAGGGTCCGACGATGGGCATAAGGAAAAAACACTCTTGTGCGATTTCTGAGGAGGCTTTAAGGATTATCAGTGCTCAGCATGGCTCAGCTCCAAATGCAGCACCCTGCTAGGAGAAGGGTCAGCAAATGACCCCGGTCGGCCCATCTTCTCATCAAACTCCACCTCCACCTGTGCAGCAGGTCATGCAAAACTTTTATTGATGTAGCGAGCAACGATGTGGGGATGGATGGTCCTCAGGGCTGATCCCAGGAAAGGGAGTCATCTACTGCCAGTGCAGGGAGCCCTGGGAGCCCCTAATTTGTTCCAATATTAATAACATTTTTAGTAATAGCTGCTGAGTCTCTCACGTCCTGCCCAGGTTTTGCAGACCAGCTTGTGAGTGCGGTGCTGCACGCGATGGACCGAATCTTTCCATAGCAGCTGAGCTTTTCTTTCCTTTCTCTAATCCAGAGTGCAATGATGCAACATTATCCTTTCAGACACTCCCTCCCACGGCCGGAGATAAGTGGGATTTGCAGAAGACAGGTGATAGAAAGACAGCAGCCTTTATTTTGACTGCCTTCTGGCAGACAATGCATAAAACATTTCTCGGTAAAAGCATTTCACTTACCATCTGTGTCGAGGATGTGCTTCTGGGGAAATGGTGCATCCGAGGTGTAGCTAAGTAATGCTGATAGGGCTGAGGGACGGGACGGACCTGGAACTGGGTGTGAGTCAGTCCTGCATCGACGCTGAGGTCCCTGTGGGCAGGAGAATGAAGATACGGCTTTGACTGCACGGTTTTATTGCATGGCTTACAGCAAGTCAGATCAGGCTCACACCACAGGGCAACCTCCACTGGTGGGCTCTGGGCTGCTGTGGGTGCCTCAGCCTGGGGTGATGATGCTACTGCTTGGAAGGGAGTTTCCTCCAACCTGGGCAATCTCCCACCAGGCCAGCATGAAGGACTGAGATGTTGCTCTTATAGCAGCTAGCATTTGTGTTAGCTGGGGTAAAAAGCTGCACAACTGCCTGCTAGTTTTACAGCAAGAGCATTTTGGTGGCTCCTGTCGATCCCCAGGCTCAGTAACTCAACGTGGCCAGACCAGGTCCTCCCTGTGCTGCCTTCACTGCAAACAATTACATTTTGCCTTGACTGTTTTGCAGGAATACAGCTAAATGCCTCACGGCACACACTGATGAGATGTTCGGGGTGGTTGTTAGCAGCCAACTAGGCTTTTTGATGTGCCCATGCTCTCCTTGGAGGTCTCCAAGCCCAGGCAACAGGATGACCTAGGAAGACAGGGAAGACTGCACCTCACCCAAGCCCAGCTTCAGTGAACCCCAGAACTGCTGTTTGTACAGAAAATATAGAGGTTTTAAGAAATTTCTGGATGAGACTGCTGTAGAAAACTATGTCACACAACCAGTGGGCTGATGCTAACGAAGCGGGACATCCCCGATGGTCCCACTTGCCTGCATACAGCCTGGCCCAGGCAAGGACAGTGGGACCTCCACCCAGGCTGGGGCTCAGCTTGGTGCATTTGGGCGCTTTGTCCCTCCAGAAAAACAACCCAGCTCAAATCCAGGACTCGGCATGACCAAGATCCTGGCAAACGCTGCAGCTCTGCCCAATCCAAGCACACAGAGACAAACTGCAAACCCCATCCCCACGCCGTGCGGAGGGTACGGGAGAGAAGCGAATGCAGCATCTCCATCTATAATCCAATTAGCCGATCCCTCGTCTCTCCAGCCAACAAGTCTCTCAGCAAACAAATTCTTTGAACGTCATTCGCTTTATCACAATTACAAAAGCCAGTGCTCTAATAACCATTGTCTTCACATTTGCCAGAGCTAAGCTAATTAGAGCACAGGGGTGGCTTCCCATTTCATCCTCAAACTTCTCTTCCCCTCCACAGAGGATAGTGGCAGCGAGTGCCACGGCTCGTTAAAAGCAACCCAGACGTGTCCTCCAGCAGCTGTGAAACTGCATTTGCCCAACAGCAGATAACAGACACGAGGGGACAGCAAATGCCGAAATCCTTTGCCCAGAATAGCCTGTGTACCAGGCAGCAGCTCCAGGGCTCTAGCACCCCCTGATAAGGCACCCTGCACCAAGCTGAAGCAAAGAGAGGGACTGTCGTTGCTGGCCCCGTGCTAGACAGACAAAACCTGGCAAAGGATAAAAACTCAGCAAGCAACTGGCAGGAACACAACCAGGGTGAGAATCCACAGGACTGGGCATTTTCCAGCTCCTGTGTCGCAATTTTGGTTATTTATCCAATTGCTGAAGACTGTTCCCAGGTGGATGGAAGGCTCGACTGGAAATCAGGAGGCTTTGGGTCCATTCCCAGCCCTGCCACTTGGCCTGATGCATGACCTTGACTGTTTCATTTCCTCTCTTCCTTCCCATATTCCCTGTCTACAAAATAGATGCAATAATCCACTGAGTGCTTTGAGATCAAGGGCTGAAGAGATCTCTCTGAGGTGAACAGCCATTATTAACTTGCACAAGTAATTGCAATAACAGCACTGCTGAACTGTTTGTGCATTGGTGCCTTAAACCTGTCAGATACTGAGGCTCCTGAAGTGATGCTGTGGGTGCCCAGAAGGGCCCAGAGCAGAATACTGCATGGAACGGTGTTTTCTCAGGGTTTGCAGGTGAATAACCAGAGCACGTTAGCTGAAGAAAACCAAAACCAACCATCACCTTCTAGCCTGTGCTTCATGGACAACTGTAAAGCATTTTGATGCTCAGGTGCAAGGTTCAAGAGCTATGATGCCTATGGTACACGGGCTGCCAACAACCAAAAAGTGAAAGACAAGGACCTGGATAACATGGTTGGATGGTCATTACTAAATGTGGATGCAGAAGATGATTCAACGAACCAAATGGGAATTTATTTCTTCTTCACCGGAAGATTTTAATTGAAGCTGGGCTGTCCGAGATGACTGATCACCTTCAGATCTTCCTTCCATCCCCGTTTCCCATAACAGTGCCTACCACCTACTGCCTCCAAGCAGACACCACTGCTGCTCATGCGGTGGTAACACATTAGAGGAAAGTTTTTATATCTGTCACTGGGCAAAACTGTACATGTGCCCCAAGGCGAAGTGAGTCACCCAAATATGTACACACAGTATATGATTTCTGTCATCCCCACTCCTTAGGTTTTATAAGGCTATGGAGCAACACAGCGGGGAAAAGGAGGGAGGAGGAGGGGAACATAAAGCAATGCTTTATCAGATCCTTCTAATGATTATAATTAAACACTCTGCACCAAAAGAGAGGCAGAAAGAATGGCTCTATCCAGATGGTACGTGAACCGCTTTGCAAACCGATCTGAACAATGTCATCCCGGCCAAATTCAGCTCACACCGGTGCCAGTTTTCTACCTGAGTAGAAAATGGCAGAAGGATCTGGCCGTATTTTAGGTTGTACATTATTACCCTGGAGGGGAAAAAAAAAACCTGTGTTAAAAGGACTCTCCATTTGCAGAGTGAAGCGCTCACTCAGATGTTAGAAAATGCCATAGTTAAGATTTCCTGTAACATTTCATTTCAGTCCCCTTGCGCATACACATTGTGATTGTCTCTAATTACACGTTCACATGCTATTTTTTCCATTCAGTGCACAGAATGGACTTTGCTCAGCTAATAAGCAGCTACTCAGAAATATGTTTTTATTTTCTTATTCTTCCAAGTAGGGCCCCATACCTTGTTAACTGTGCAAGAGCTCAGAACCTGTTCTGAAAATGAAACCATCAATTCCTTGCTCAGCTTTTCCATGGTATCGTACACGAGAGTGGGAGAATGATTAACAACTATTCGTTCATTCACACCACCCTGTGGGGCAGGGCAACACCGTGCTCCCTAACTTTGACCATGGAAAAAGTTATGGCCACTGTTTTTTGAGTGGCTGGTGGACAGCAGAAGATCTAGTGCAGGCAGAGACATTGGTCTACAGGAAGAAGACCCTGGCTGTGTCCTGCAGCAAGAGAAGCCCCTGGAAGAAGATTAACACTTGGCTGCACTCTACATCCATGGATGGAGAGTTATGGGCAATACTGATGCCTCGATGTTATCATATACATGCGTGAAGGCTTTAGCATGCACTCACAGCCCTCCCAGAGATGAGTTTTCCCATTGCCTGCTCCCCACGTTGTATCTGTTGAGCTGCACCATTAGCTTTCATGAAAGCGTTGACCTGTGATGACCCCAACCTTGCAGCCTCCCCAGGACTTTCTAAACACTGCATTCAACGGGCAAGTGAAATGTGGAAGACTTACCAGTCCGTGCCTTCGGCTAAATACCTGGGCTGGGGCCCCATGGGTTGTGGAGTTTGCAGTTGGTGGCTGAAGTCAAAGCTGGGGTGCAGACGGTGAGGCTGAACAGACATGCGCTCTTGAGCCCGCCTGCGGGGAGGAGGAGACCAGCAAGTGAGTTAGCCACGTGGCAAGCACTGTGTGGGTATGGCTCCTGCTCTGAGCCTGTGTCAATAAATTGGGGGAAAACTCAAACCATTGGGTTTGTGAATATGTGTCTAAGAGAAAAGAGCCCAGGCAGCTGTCATGGATGATGGGAAGAGGAACCCAGGGCTATGTCATTTACTGGTGGTCACGGGTCACACCAGACGTAACGCAGACCTCTGCTCTCGCCCCCTATGGCATCCACGTACACTCAGTTTGCAAGAGATGCTATTTGGTGGCAACACAGAGAAAAAGAGGAAACAAACCCACTTCTTCCTTAGCAGTTTTGTGCCATTTGCACTATTTTCTTTTTCTCCACCGTCAACCCTGTGAAGAACATACAAGGTAAAACTTGTCCCTGGTTCAGCTGTTATCCATCATCATAAAGAAGCTGCGGGTTGTCTCGCCTCCCCGTGCGGTGCACAGACTCCTGGGGAACCTCATTCATAACAGGATTCCTCAGGAGTAACTGAAAGCAGAATTTACTCTCACCGGCCTTTGCCAACATTTCTCTTGATGATGGGCAGGCCAGGCTGGGATCCAGCTCCTTCTTCCCCAGCTCTGCTGCCCTTACAGGCAGGGAAAGGAAAGTGGTAGAAAATATAGCAAGGTTTTTTCTAGGGATTTGAGTCTCTTCCCATGATTGTTGCTTGTTTCAACTACTCAGGGGAAGAGCATGGGCTGCTTGGAGGGAGGCAGGTGGATGCACAAGCAGGGTTTGCATTACAGACGGACTCACACCCCTTGTTCCCTGCCGAGTCCCTTCTCACCCCTGGAGCCACCACAAAGCAAAGCTATGGGAAAACACTAGAGCAAACGGAGCAGGGAACTGCCAGATAAAGAATTTTTCATGCAGCCACAGCTCAGAGGCTTCATTTTTGAAGGCACGACCCAGATTCCCATTACTGGGACCTCATGCCCCACACCTGTAAGGTTCCCAACACCCTCCTCCGATGCAGCTGTGCTTTCAGAAACAGGCTGCGGGACCAGGCAAGAGGTGCCTGCCCTTTTCCACACCACAACCCACCTGCAAATGTAACGCTGACAGCATTCACCAAAGCAGCTACTGCATGGAACTGTGCTCTGTGCTTTTATTTGAATTCAGCTTATGACTAAGAGATAAACACTTGTATCATCAGTGCCTCAGCCTCACACATAGTTGCTACCCAATTATTAACTAATCATTAAATCCACCTAAAATCCAGCTTATGAAAAACAAAACAAGGATGAGAAGAACACACAATTTTCAGACAGAAAGGGAATGGAAAGTGTTTTCTGTCTGTAGCATTCTTTCCAAATGAAGCATTATCGCAAAGACTCATCCTCTGATTCTTGATCCATGGGTACAACCCACAAATAGCTTCCATATGTTTCCAAAAAAAGCACTTCTCTCCTACATGCTATCTAAACCCCTCTCTCAAGAAACACAACCAGGACAAGGCCAGGCATCCATTTCCACCTCTGCTGAGTTACAGTAATCCTCCCTGCAGCCGTCAGCCCAGGCTGAATTTAGGCTGCTTTCTGTGATTGAATGTGCTGCAGGTCAACAGCATCGTTCTCTCATAGATCTGGGAAGCCCACCTAGACCCAGAGGAGCAAGGTCCTCATGTGCAAAACCCAACGGGATAGGTGCATACAATCTCTTACACGGTTTTGAAACAGCAGCTACGAGGAGGTAACTTGTGCACACAATGGCTCGCTCTGCCACGCAGGGCAGGTTGACTGCAACACCAAGGTGTCACCACCATGATTCTCCTCCGAGTGACAATAATAGGTGACCTTGGGACATGCCAGATGAGCACAGTATGGATCCCCATGGGAAAGGTGCACCTGCAGGTGCCACGTGCCCTGCAGCTTCCCTTCTAGTGGATGCGTTTTAGGGGTACACAGATGAACTTGTGAAGAAAACCCAATGTTACTAGCATGTAGTGCTGGGGTTTTGCAGAAGCCACTTTGCTGAAGTGAGGCTGATGTAGGTTCTCAGCACCCTTCAGGAAGAGTAAGACACCCCCTCTTACCTGGGATGGGGCATGAGCCGGCGGTGCTGTGCCTCGAGGAGCTGCTGCTGGAGGAGGTATTGCTGGTGAAGCGCCTGAGGTAGGAAGGAGGGTCCGGCCACATCCTGGAAGGGCAGGGCTGGCACCGGCGCCAGGGGCTGGTGCAGGGGACCGCTGTGCTGGTGCGCGGGTGCCATGTGGGGGGTCAGCCCCGGCTGGGGCTGCACCGCGTGAGGCAGGGTGAAGTCGGCGGATAGCTGAGGCTGGGGACCCAGGTGGAAGTGCCGGCAGGAGGTAGCATGGGGATGCTGAGACCTTTGAAAAGGAGCACCTGGAAGAGAAGAGCGTGGTCATCATGCGGGCCGATGGCGGATGGGGCAGCCTAGCCCGGTGGTTGCCCAACCAGGGCAAGAACAGAGCAAACAGCTATTTCTCTCCTCTGCCAAAAGGGTTAAAAAAGAGACACCAGGTCAGTTAATGTTGATTACATGGAAAATGTTGATTTTGACTAATAGCTTTTCTCCTCCAAAAAACATTGGAACCAAAACATGGGCTTGTGTTCAAAGTGACTTTTTGGCTCCAAACTGAAGTGTATAGTGATGAAAACAGCTTCAGCCTGTTTTGGTTTGCCTGTTTTAAAGAGAAAAGGTACAAAAATTTTAATAGGGCCTGTTGTGATAGGACGAGGGGTGATGGTTTTAAACTAAAAGAGGGTAGATTCAGACTAGATATAAGGAAGACAGTTTTTACAATGACAGTGGTGAGACACCGGAACGGGTTGCCCAGAGAGGTGGTGGATGCCCCATCCCTGGGAACATTCCGGGTTAGGTTGGATGGGGCTCTGAGTAACCTGATGGAGTTGAAGATGTCCCTGCTCACTGCAGAGGGGCTGGGTTAGATGACGTCTAAAGGCCCCTTCCAACCCAAACCAGTCTATGATTGTATGAAAAGCCTTAACATTTTAGAAAAGGAAAAAAAAATTGTTTTCTAAAATATGTTTTCATGGGTTATGAGCTCACTGAAATTTTCAAAGCTTGCTGACTTTCCATGCAATTCAAGGTATATCTTTGCCTGTCTAAAAATGTCTCAAAGGCAAGGAAATAATCTCTGCTCTAAGAAACTGTCTCTTGCTGACTGGAGGACGTGCATGAGACACCTTCCACCGCTAAGAGCCAGGATTAAGACTGTGCCTCTTTTTCTGAGCCTCTCCAATAGCCCGTCCTCATAAGCTGCACACAGGGAGAGAGCAGCTGCAGGCAGCACAGCATGGACTGCTACGAGATGGATGGGAATGAGGAAGAAATGAGGTGTGAAAGACATCCGTAGTGGAGGCTTTTTGCAAAACATCTGGTACTGGCTTGCACCTCCCTCAAGATCCTTGCTTGGATGGGCTATTGGCCCAATCCGACATGTTAGTTCCTACATTCCCAGAGCATTACAGGCATCACGGCAAATCTTTTGGCTCTTAAACTAGGGTGAGAGGCAGCTCAGAGGTGAAGGATGAGACTGGAGTGAGGCTATTAGAGATGCCTCTTTGCTGAGGATCAGCCCCAGGATAGGACGCCTACCCTTTTATGCAGTCTTTTGAACACCTCATCTTCCTAGAAACTCCTCTTTTTGTAAAAACAAGGATCAACAGCACCAAGAGACACTGAGCATCATCCCAAGACACAGGCCAGACGTGCCCATGATGCCTTTTTCAGGCAGATCCCTTCTGCTCACATCTCCCTTCTGCCAGCAGGCAAGGCCAGTCCATCACAGCAGCTCAGGGAGCCCCCAGCGCTTTCTGTTCGCGTCCGTATGGAAACGGGAGGTGCACAAAGAAAGCCAGATGCCAGCAAGAGGAACAACGGGAGAGGACCTAACAGACATGAATGGTTTGCAAAACTGTGCGTAAGTAATTACACACAGCATCTCTTAAATACAAACTAATCCTCCGTAGCGCCCCTCTGAGAGAGCCAGTGGGTAACAAATGCGTGTGCCTTCAGCTGCAGAACTTCTTAAGGTGATAATCTCTCATGCTGTCAGATTCAGCTACCCTACTAATTAAAACCGGAGGAGGTGGGATCAGACCCACTGTTCCCCAACAGTGCAGCTGCAAAACCCAGACCCATGAGCCATCCGCGTACGTCATCAGCTGGTACTGCCATCAGCTTGGCCTAAATTCACCGTACCCCACTGGTAGATAAAGGGTGAGTAATGAAATGGGGATCCTGTGCTTCCCTGGCCCATTGCTCAAGCTGAGCACCACTGCAGTTGTAGGGAGATGCCTCCTAATTGCTGTGTTTGCTGGGTACTTGCAGGGCGACTCAACCTCTAATGGCCATGGGCCCTCCCAATGGAGAACAGCTATGGCATATTGTGGGTGAGCCCTTTTTACACCTCCAGGTCCTCACAGCACCTGAAGATCAGGTGCTAGAGCAGGTTAAAGTGCTAATCACTCTGCACACCCAAACACCAGCATGTGCCACCACGCAGCATTTCAGTTGTATTTCAGACAAAACTGGCTTCAGAGGACACAAGACAATGACGCTTGGAGATATTCCCCCACATTTACTGGGGCAAATTTTATACCACATAAGTAAAGCAGAAAAAGTCAGTCTCTCATCCTCTGCATCTCTCTCGTCTCTTGATGTCTGGTACACCTTAACCAAGGATTTCCAGTCTTTCACTGTATTCTGGGAAGCCTTAGTCTGATTTAGCGAAACCTCTGCAGGGCCTTTGATGCCAGAGCCGTGATGAAATAGAGAGCACAGGGTGGGCAGATCATCTTGTCAGAGCTTTTGACTTTAATTTTTCCTCCCACACCAAGACAGTCCTTGTGAGGAACTGATCATACCTTTCCCTGTGGTCCAGAAAGAGCAAACTTTGTCTCTGATATCCAGGCAGGAAGGCATACAGGGCCCGCACAGAGCCAACACATCCTAAAGTAAAAGCCTAACCCATTTTGTTTTGGTACAGAGAGTTAATTTGCCGTATTTTTAGGTGCTAGTCAATTAAAACAAACATTTTTTAGTATTTTTTCTGGTATCTACTGGTGCAATGATGCCTTTCCCTCCATAGGAAAAATACTATCAAAATGTGACCAAGACCATATGATTAAAACCCAATAATTTTTCTTAACATAATTTGCTATCTTGTGTTGTAATTGTTCGTTCTCTACAACTAATCCAATTGCTGATGAGGATTTTGATGGCAAAGCAAAGACTTTGGGGAATACTTCAGCAAATCTGTGCTTATTAGCAGTCATCAAATCATACAGCTGGCATAACTGAACCAGCTTGCACAACAAAGAGCCCGTCCTTGCCAAGCATGGTACTGCTGGACCCCAGAAATCCCTGGCAAACAAATAACAGTGCACAACAGAACAGTTCATCTCTGAGTTATCTGTTTGCAAGTTTACCCTCTTCTGTAATCGTATCTAGCTACTAGGGGCCTTGGTGGCAGCTACTTTCTGAGTCCACATGTTGATCTCACATACACAAGGTAAATCCAGTATCGCCCTGCAGACGCCAGCCGAGCAGCCTTACTTCAGGTAACTCGCCATAGCCAACACCAGAATCTGGCTTGCAGGCGCTCATCCTTATTCAGCATAACGGGGGATCTCACATTAGCAGTGTCTGTTCATTGTTCCTTCTTTTTCCCAAGCCGCGGTTTGGTCCTAGATCACATTTGCATTGGAACCAACAAGCATTGCCCATAAAATGCTTCAAGAAAAATTGATTCATGGATTTAATCTGGTTTTTGCCTGGACAGTAATGTCTGCCACAGTGGAGAGCAATCCATGGCTAAAAGCCAGGCAAGATACCCCACTCCAGGTTTTGTTTTTATTCCCCAGAACAAGAGCAGGGCTGACATTTTCATTAGCTAAGCTTTGTGGACGTCTCTGCAGCAAAGACAATGAGGTTGGAAACTGTGCCTATTAAGCTCCAGAGCTGCTAATTGCATCCTCCATCAATCATGTTCCCCACCACCTTCCCTAGTGGTGGCTGTAGGAAGGCAATGTTGCTCTGGGATTGGCAAGGCAGGGACCTTCCCCCCACTCAATGGGCTCCAGAGTTTTGGTCCTCATCCTACAGCAGGTTTATTCTTCTCCATTGGGCTACTCTTATTTTGCAGGAAGAGGAGTCAGACAGATCTGGGATGATTTTTTAATGGCCTATCCCAAAGGCACCTAAGACACTCATCAGCTTCAGTGGCCACTGCTGCAAACACTTGCCTCCTCCAGCTGAAGAGGGAGGGGGAAGCCCAGTGTCCTTGCTGCAGAGGCAATGCAGTCTTGACCAGCCCTGAGAAGCTTTTGACCTGATGCCAATCTGGAAACACGTGTCCCTGTGTCCAGCCTGCTGGTCATGAGAGGGTCTACCCTTCTGCATGAGGCTCATTGATCTGCTCCTGACGGTGGCTGTTCATATCTGGAGCCGTGGAGGACTGATTTCTCTGGGCTCACTGTCAGGCTGTCCACCAGCCAGAAATCCTTCTTTCCTTGCCCTGTTGCCTCTTCCTTTCATTTAAATACTGATGCTGTGGCAGATGATGACAGCTCAGATCAACGTCAGATCAGCAGCTCTGAGGTGAGCAACACATCACTTCTGTGTCAGCAAAGCAGACAACCTACTCCAGTTTTGTTCAGTTTCCCATTAACTGGCTGAGGCCAAATGTCACTGAGGTCAGACACTTCTGTTTCAATGCAAGCATCTAAACTGAGTTCTTTCTTAGCAGAGCAAGGGGCGTATTCCCCCACACACCCCCTTTGCTTTTCCTCTCCCTCTCCATATTAGTTCCTCATGCTCTTCTGTTGATCATACACATTTGCAAGGTCTGCTCTCTTTCTCAGCCTGCCCTCTCACCCAAGCTCCCAGCTTGTACAGCCCTTGTTGCCTTACACCTGTCTGGCCTCAGCTAAGCCACAAAGGCAGCTAGTGTCCAAGCCCAGCTAATCCAGGTCTAAAAAGTGCCCTGCGAATGTCTAAAGGTTTGCCCTAACACACAGAGGCAAAGACAGGATCCGGTGGAGATGTGAATCAGGTCTTGGGCAAGCCGGGCTGTCAGTGGGGTGGGAAAGAGGAGCTACACGGTCCTCTTACATGCCTGGGGCCAAGCCTGGCCCAAAAAAAGTTATGGCATGGCATGATGGTGTAGAACCATGTGCCCATGGGTACCCCATCTGCTGTCTGCCTTTGGATGAGCACCGGCAACACCTCCCTGACTTGCATGATGTTCTGATAGCTGCTGCATCCACTACCCTTGGCTTCTTCGGTCACGTCCTAAAGCCAAAGTCATCACCAGGGGTCAAAGAGTAGGGGAATCAGTGCTTCATTAACTCCTGCTGCTGCCAGAACATGAGTGCAGGTCAGTAGCTGCCCCAGCTGGTCTGGCTCACCTCTGCTACCATAAGACATGGTGCGGCTTTGTGCCGTCATGCTGAGGACCCACCATGGAGCTGGGTCTGCTGTATTCCCCACGGCTACCCAGCTTGGTGGCACCATGGCCACATCTCCCTACCTGCACCACGGAGGGGTTGTTCAGCCTGGAGCAGAGGAGGCTGAGGGGAGCCCTCATCGCTGCCTACAACTGCCTGAGAGGAGGGGGGAGCCGGGGGGGTCGGGCTCTGCTCCCAGGGAAGGGGCGATGGGACGAGGGGCACCGGCCTCAAGTTGTGCCAGGGCAGGGTGAGGTTGGCCATGGGGAACAATTCCTTCCCCTTGGGGCTGTCAGGGGCTGGTGAACTTACAGGGCTTTTCCAACCTAAACAATTCTGTAATTCTATGATCATCAGCTCAGAAGCTTGGGGGGAAGATCACTTAACAGCTATTTACGAAGCACCTGAAACGCTTAGCTGGAAGATGGCATTACAGACTGCCGTCCCAAATCGAGGAGGTATAAATTTGGTTTTAGAAAGCCAACAGATGATGTAGGCACGTGGATAGCCAAACCTCTTCAGCTGCTTGCTGCCGCGCCGTTTCCACCCTTCGCTCACGCAGGCTTCGAACACAGCGGAAACCCGCGGGGAAACTCATCACATCCTTCTCACTGCCACTTTCTCACTTCCACAGCTTTTGCTTTTTTATTTTTCCCCCCTCAGTTCTACAGTTATATTTATTGTTTCTGTAAGTTATCTAAAGCAGACCTTTTTTTCATTAAAAACAATGCGCCCGGTTCCTTTGCTCCCCCAGGTGAACCCCGTAAATGACAAGTTCATATATTTTTGAAGGTTGGTCTGTGTGTGACATGAGTTATAGAATCTTACTGGTCTGATACTGGGTATTTCTGTCACTGGGGATTCTCCTTTAGCATCAGTCAGGATCTGACTCTGCACATGCACATGCAGATTTATCCATCCACCAATATTTCACCCAGAAAGGCTCAAGGGATCCATGTGCTCATTAAACACTGACCCGTCTCAGAGCTGCAAAGCCCCTGGGTGAACCCTGCAGAGAGACAGGGGTTGCTACGGGCTTTATGAAAAGAAAAACCCAGAAAGCAGAACCATTTATTTCTACCTCCTCTTCCTCATGGCCAGCAATATTTTCGACGCGACCAGGCTGGCGGTGAGGGGCGCAGGATCCGGCCCAGCGCTGGCGCTGGGGATTGGTATCTTGAGCAGACAGCTGCAGCCCAGGGAGCGCAGCCGCCTCTGCAAGGAAAACAAAATCTGTCTTACGCTGTTAAGCTGCCCCGCCATGCGTGCGAATTTTTCCCCTGGGTAAGGCAACCTGGCTGGCTTGTCGAGGCATTCACGGTCCGCGTGCGGGGGCCGGGGGGCAGGAAGGGAGGCTGGGGCTATTTATACATCCCGATCCCATCATGGTGGAGAGGGAGCTGGCAGCTCCTGGAGAGCCCTGGCTTCACTCGCTGACAGATTTTGCAGCCGCGGAGGGCCTGTTCGTTGCAATCGGCTGAGCCGGGGGCCACAGCCGCGCCGTCTCGGCCATTTTGCCCTGATTAGAGCCCCCGCAACCCCTCCTCCTTCCCTGGGATGGCAGATAAACCCCATAAACCAGAGCTATCCGGGGTGCCCCTCCGAGCACCGGACCCTGCAGAGAGCCCACCAGGCTTTTAATAGCCCAGGCGCCTGCAGCTTGTTTCCCTGGATGTGCCCGAAAATTCCCCTCCGCGACAGGAAAGCGGTGGGAAGTTAGCATCCATCCCGGTGGTATCCAGAGAGTGAAGGCTAAAATTGCAGGAGCAGCTCCACGGAGAAGGACTGCTTGTTTACAAACAACCTGCTAATTGCCTGGTGCTGTCAGCCCCATGTTAACCCTTTGCAAATTATTTGTGAATATACCCTTATTAAATGAGTTAAATTGACTTACTAATAGGAAATGAGGAGTGACGACGCACCTGGAAAATAAAAAATTAAGAAAAAAAAACCCCAGACAAAATCCACAGTATATTCAGCTGCATAAAAGTCTAGCAGTCTTGCAGAGAGGG